TGGCGCGGCCTCCCGCCCGCAAGGGGGCGCTGGCGGCCGGAAGGTCCCGCGGGGGGCGCCGTTCCAGCCCCCTCCGCCCGCCCCACCCCTTCCCGGGACCCCTCCGTAAGCACTCAAGCCTTAGGCGGTGGACCGCGGCTTTTATTTAGCGACAGGCACGGGAAATCATTTTGACAAAAATCTCGTTATCGGCCCGCTCTGCTTGCTTGGCCTCTCCTCTTTAAAGCAGGCAGCTTTCTTTTTTTTTTTTTTTTTTCCCCCCCGGTTACACGGTAATTGCCTTCGGTAATTTACCCCGTAACTGTTCGGCCTGCAGCGTGTTACCCCCTTGGAGAGACCCGAGGGTAAAACATCAAGTTCCCGCGTCCTCAGCACGCCCTGCCGGGAGCAAATCCCTGCTTCTCCTGGTTTTGTTTCCCGAACTGCGATGAACTTCCCGGGCTCTACCCCCTGGCTCTTCTTGAAAGCAAAATAATGTGGATTTCACTTCCCTCTGGGCAGGACTTTACCTGCTGCTTGACAGGGACAGAGGTTCAGCTTTTTGATAGCAGGGATTTCCCTTTTCTTCGCTACACTCTGTCACACATCCATGTCTTCTGGTTCTGGTGGGAGAGTCTAGATCTGACATAAGCATCTGCTCAAACAACCCGTTTACTAGTATTCAGAGGGGGTTTTTTTCCAGGTATGACCATACTCTGATGTACTCCTTTTTCCAAGGTCTCTGATTTAATGAAAGATGTTTTAAAAAACCCACAGCACTGTACAGTCTAGCAAGTCCCCCTTGAAGTTATTTTGGACTTGGAATTTCTGAGTATTCTCCCGGTAATATCAATCCACTATATTCTGTTGTTTCAATACACATCTCTTCAAGATGTTTCATACTACTAAAACAAACTCTAATGCTGCAATCCTCACTCCGGCAAAATAATATTTAAAAATAGAAAAAAAGGTCTTTAGAAACAGGATGCTTAGAAAAGTAGTCACTTAAAAGCAGCAATAGGACATCTATTTACAGCCTTGTTAAAACCATGTCATTTAACGATTAAAGCTTAGGACTCGCCATAAGGTGGGCAAGCACTATTTGCAGCTTTACCATAGGTCTGCTCTGTGATCTTTGCCAAGTCTTTTAACCTCATTAAATAAGGGTCATCTTTGTCACTTTTGAGATTAATCCATGATTAGCAGAGCATGTTGTGCATTATACAGTACACGAAACACCACAGAAGTATGCTTCCTTGTTATTTTTACTGTATAAACGAGCAGCCTTTTTGCTGGTTGAAAATTCTACCAAAGTTACTAAATTACACTGAAAATTACGTCTTTACCTAAAATGCAAAGAAGTAGAGTCTAGACAATTTCCTAAAAATGGACTGATGGTGGGAAGAGAAAGTAAAGACCTTCAAAGTCTTCAGTGAGTGAACTCAGTATTATTATCGAGCTCAAGCCATTTACACAGTACTTAAAACCAGTAGAGATTTTCAAAACAGGCCTGAGGCAAAAGACTGACTGTGAATGTCTCCAAACTTCAGGAGAATTTAAACACAGGTCCTAGCTTTGCTATTTTGGCCACAGCTTTATAATGGTCTCAGCTAACAGCCTGCATCTGTACCACTCAGAACATTTGGGGAGTTCTCATCGGGACTCACATTTTGTGCTGTGCACCTCTTGCACCTCATAACCAGACTCCTAAGTCTGACATGTTTTGTTGCTTGCGGCTATACTACTCTTCATTTAGCTAGTATTGCTATCATTCATCTGTTTTTAGCTTGATTTCTGTTGCACCTTAAGATATAATGCGCCACAGAATTAAGCTTTTACAAAAATTTCTTCCTCTGGGTAAAGTCCCAGTTAAGCTCTTCTCAGCCCATGCCGATTCAAGGGCTAACTTTCTTCCCTGGTAAATTGCAAATCAATTTGCTTTCAAATAAACTGTTATTCCTAGGAATAGGGAACATAATTTTTCTTATTATCCAGAAAACTAATTTCTTTTTCAGGCAGTTCTTTCCCCAAGAGTGTGAATTGCATTTTATTCTAGTAGTTACCACAGACAGCCACTGCTTTCAAGCTACAAAGACAATACTATCAGGTTTCTTTGTGCAGTTTCATATGCTTGATTAGTTTACTAAATTGACAGGTCATCAAGGTCCTTTAATCTCCTTGCAAGCAACTAGAATATAATTCCATAACTTGTTCTATTTTTAATGTGTTCCCGAGTTTCTGATCTCACACCGACTGCAAGGTGCACATCATAAAATGCGATCACAGTAGTAAGACCGTCAATAAGATACATTTGTACACCACTTAAACTGGACTCTCAGGTAATTTTTCTATTGTTCATCTTTTTAAATACTTCTTTATCCATGTTAGAAACCCCCCGGGTGACTAGAAATCAAACACAAGCACAAACGGCTCTCTTCTACCTGTACTCTGTCAGTCTGAGTGCAACTCTAGTGGCAACGGCCTGCCTGTTCAGTGATGGACTCGCTCCAGCTGTGAAAGAAAACCACATCTATCCATTTTGCTAATAGAAACAGGATAAAAATAGCATATCCTCAGAGACCCCTTCCCTGGAAGGCTGTCAGCAGACACCTTGACCCATTTTTGCCGTCTGTCAGAACATATGTCTTTTGAGCTAATGTATTTGTGCAATTTGTCAAGTATGACAGCAATAACTATAAAACTACATTGAGAAAAGGATCTCTGCTACAATTCAAGATGATTGGTATTTTTATCCTCACAATAATCTACAGTTGTTTAGAGCTGTCCTCACATTAGGCAGTATTGTGCATGAATAATGTGGCGAGATCTAGATCAAAAGTCCACTGCAATTAGGTATGGCCTACCAACCTTGTCCTGAGAGCAGGACAGAGTTACTTCTCGGCTTTGGCCATTTGTGGTCTTCCTACAAGATTTATTCAGGCTCAGTAAAAAAACCCACAAGTCAGAAACCCCTACCCCAAAGGCTCTCAGTGTCTTCCGCAATACAAACAACTGAGGCAAATGGGAAACTATGTATGATGTAAAGGGAGAGAAATTCTCAAAGACAGCTTCTCTCAACAGCCCGGCATCGGGTAAAGATTTTAATCTGTGGCAGACAGCAGGTAAACACAGAGAAATTGCAGTTTTTCTCAGTGGACAACTGCTAAAGAGAACTATGAAAAAAAGAATCTTTTCATAGGGATCATTTCCAATAATTTCACTTGAGGAGATATGAGTAGGAGAGTACGCATTCTGTCGTTTTGAAAATTATTCTTTTAGCTAAAGTGATGTAATTTTTTTGGTCGTAATTAAAAGGCAAACAGCTTTTCTTTCCTTCTGCCATATTTACAAATAAGTTTGTACTTTAACTGTCTATGCCCTGGCCACACTATGTTAAATATTAGCTTAGGAGGATGATGTCTAAACAGAACTCACAAGAAATCCACAAGAAATCTTCTTGTCATTTATGCGCAGACCCACTAGCATAGTACATAAAAAGACAATGCAGCACATGCATTTAAAGCACAGTTACTGCCTTCGAATCAGTCGAAATGAAAGAAAATACAGTGCAAACCTCTACTGCTCTCCAGTGGAAATTAATGCAATCACCACAGTTAAAGTTCCACCACTTCTCGAGCTTTTGCATTTTTTAAAACACTCGTTTCTTTGTTCCTGTACTGCTGCTGGCCCACCAGGCTCCTTAGCAACCTTGTACATGAAATACTTTTATTTAATGAGAAACAGTGATTTCCCCAAACATTAATTGTATGATAAACGTGAGGGATGTGAGGCAACTCTCTGAAGCTCTTCAATCTCAGTAGATGTTTTCAACGTTACCGTACACATCTAGAATAGCTCACGTTATTCCCATGACAAAACACATGATCCAGAATGGAATTCACCGTTCCAAACCCTAGGAAAACCGCTCTCTCTTAGCAAGTGCGAGATGCTTTCTAAGTTGTGTCATCGCGAATAAAACAGGATTTCTGGTATTAATTTATCTAGAGACCTTGTTAGAAATAAAAGGTCTTTTCGCTGTCAGAGGTTAGCCGACGCAGCGACCCAAGCGCAGTTTGGGAGCTGCGAAGTCCTAACACCTGGTTTCAGGTCCCCTCACTCATCCCTCAACGAACCACTCGATCTGCTTCTGCCTCCGCGGGTGCGATAAACAGACGCTAACGCCTCCACGAGAGCTGCCAGAGAGCGTTTCCTTCACTCTTCCACCCAAAGCGATGAAGACTCATTGCGCGGTCCCTTGGGCTCCCGGCCGGCCTCCCCGCTGCCCCGGCCCCAGGGGAGGCCGCCTGGGCCTCTAGGGCCGCCCGGCTCCCCGCAGGGCTGGGCCCGCCGGCCTCAGCGCCTCTTCCCCAGCTCCCCAACCCCACCGCCCGCCTCCCCGCCTCGGCACTGACGCGGCCTAACCCTCTCCTCTCGGCCCCACACCCCGCCTTAGACGGCCCGGCAGCCCTTCAGCCCCCAACGCCGGGCGCCTACGGCCTCGTTCCCTCACGGTGACCCGCGGACGCCCCCGGCCCTTCCCGGCGGGTGA